TGGAAAAAAGTTTTCAGGCAATGGACAACTGGCACTGCAGCATTGGAGCCCCTGAGAGAAGGGAAACAAGTGAGGTAAGCCCCATAATTGCTTATATTTCTGCCTGGAGACACTTTTCAGCCCATGGTGCAAGGAGGGGGATCCCCAAACAGACCATGGTAGTCTCGTTCAGTTGAAGAGATGGAAATTAGTTTCGGGAGGCAGAAGTGGCTGGAATTTGCAGGACAGAGTACAGAAAGGAAGGAATTATACCGGGAAAGATTTCCAGAAATCGGCAAGAGACAATGTCCCCTTGAGTCTGTGGTTGAATATTAGGCCATACATGGTAGGGTGAAACTCCGCTAAGACTGGGCAATGACTCTCCTAGAGCTCACACAGAGCTGGAAGATATCTGAGTTCCAATTAGCTCCAGAGAAGCACTGGTTTAATACAGTGGGAAACAAAGAAGAAAGGGGGAAGGACAATTATTATGTTTAAAAGGCAAAAGAAAAAGAGGATGGATGGATGTGACAAAACAAGTAAAATGTTAATGGTAGAATCTAGATGGGGGTATATAGGTGATCACTGTAAAATCAAAGGGAATAAGGGAATATGAAAAACTTTATGTCCATAAATTTCACAATTCAAACAAAGTCCTCAAGAGACAGTGTGGTGGTTTTAAAGTACATTCACATGTTCTTGACTTCCATTCTCAAAGGTGGAGTCCTCCCTTGAAGTATGGGCTAGACTTAGCATTCTATCGTAACAAACAAGAATATGACAGAAGAGACGGTGAGTGACTTCTGAGACAGGTCACAAAAATCACTGTAGTTTCCTCTTTGCCCTTTCTCTTGGATTACTCACTTGGCAAGAAAAGTTACCAACTTTTTTAGGACACTCAAGCAGCTCCATGGAGGGGCCCATGTGGTTAGAAATCAAAGCCTCCTGCCAACAATCAGCAATAAATTGAGCCTTCCTGATAACATTCAGTGAGGAATGGAGGCCTCCTGCCAAAAGCCAGTGGGGAACTGAGGCCTGCTGCCAAAAGCCATGAGCGAGCCACCTTGGAAGCAGATCCTCCAGCCCCAGTCAAGCCTTTTTATGACTGCAGCTTCAGCCAACATCTTGACCCACTTTTGATCCTAAGCCAGAACCATCCACTTCTGAATTTCTAACCCACAGAAACTGTGAGATAATTAATGTTATTGTTCTAAGCTAACTTTTGAGATAATTTATTAAGCAGGAATAGATAACTAACACAAGCTACCAAAGCTTATTCAACAGTTTCACTGTTCAAGTCTATGGAACATTTAAGAAACAAATAATACCAGCTATTACTTTTATTGTTGCTCCTTTCAATGTATTCTTTTTTTTTAAAGGCTGCTTTTTACTTCTTCCATCTTTGGTTATCAGCAGTTTTACAGTGATGTGATTTCATGTGGTTTTCACTTCATTTATCCTACTTGGGATTCACAGGTGTTCTCAAATCTGTATTTTGATGTCTTTCATCAATATTGTAAAGTTCTCATTCATCTCTTTAACTATGTTTCATTTTCTTTCTCCTCTCCCTGGACACTAATTTCCTGTAAGATCTTTTTATTGTATCTTGTATGCCTTAATTTTACTTCTGTATTTTCATTGTTTTGCCTCCCTCTGCATCATTCTGGATATTTTCTTCTAACTTCTGTACATTCACTAATTCTTTCTTCAGCTATACCTGTTCTGCTGTCACATCCACCCATCAAGATCCTAATTTCAGTCATGGCAACTTTCAGTTCTCGTATTTCAATTTTATTTTTAATATATTTGTCAGTTTTTTGCCAAAATTCTCAGAAGTTTAATTTGTCCTCAAAACTCCACTATCTGGAGATTCTGCAGGTCTGTTTATGTGGAATCTTCAGCTGGCATTTACTCATTTCTCTTTGTGTGTCAAGTTTCTTTTTATTGTGTGCCCTACAATGTAGTGGCAAAACTTATTTATAGATTTATTTTGAGGCCTAGTATATTAGTTTTCTACTACTGCACAACATTATTACCACAAATTTAATGTCCAATGACACATTTATTATCTCACAGGTTCTGTGGGTCAGAAGTCCAAGTACAGCTTAGCTCTCTGCTTCATGGTCTCACAAGGCTGCAATAATGGTGTTAGCCAGAGCTGTGATCTCAGCTAAGGGTCCACTGGGCAGGATCCACTTCCAAAATTACATGGTTGTTGGCAGCATTCAGTTCCTTGCAGGATACTGGAACAAGAGCCTGTTTCTTGCAAACTACTGGCGAGGAGCCACGCTTAGTTGCTTACTATGTGGCTCTCTCCAAACACCAGCTTACAACATGGCAGCTTCCCTCTTAAAAACAGAGTTTCTTAACAACTATATTTGATGTAATCATGTACACATAATCATGTACATCCCATCAACTTCATGGTATTCTATTAATTAGAAGCAAGGTCATAGTTCCCTGATACAAGGAATACCAGGAGTCAAGGATCACAGGGGCCACTTTAGAGCCTATCTGCCAAACCTAGAATGTGAACTTACTCCTGAGAAGCAAATTTAGATTTGTTTTTGCCAGGCACCTGGGAGCTCTAAAAATCTTAGATAACTTCAATCCACCTTCAGAGACTGACAGTATATAAAGCTGAGCTGCCATCCCTTTGAAAGCCTGTGTACTTCTGGATCATTCTTACTCGTAGTGGGCAGCTGTGTGGGATTCTTACCCAAAGTAAGGGAAAGGTTGGCCAGTGCAGGCCCCATACTCCACGCATCTTCCCCCTGGTCTCATGAGGTTATCAACACAGACTCTCAGTATCTCAGCCACCACTTATAGAACTGACCAACACTTACAGGAGAAAACAGCTCACCTACCAAAGTATCTGTGCTTTCTTAGGAATTCCTCATTGTTGTCAGCTCTCTGATGTGTTTAAGCAGAAGTTTAAAAAATTTTGTTCAGCTGTAAGCTTTTGTAGATGTTTGCAGCAGATCTAGCCCAAATTACTTGATCTACCATTACTGTAAATGAAAGTCTTTTTTTTTTTTACTTACATAATTTATAATTTGTTACTGGCCTCAACATGTAGACAAATGATAATCTACAAGATTAGATGTGTTTCAACATAATCTAACCTATTAAAGCAATTTCCCCCCATTAAATTATACTGAATATTTCGATTTCTGGAGCTTTCCATAATTTAGAAAAGAAAATTCTACTGTTATTACATACTGAATCTTCATGGCTAAAACATGAACCTAGAAATTAGTGTGGATTTATAAAATTTCTAGATCAGTTGATATTTTGCTACTACCCCTAAAGAAAAGTCTCTTAAGTGATGTGTATTTCTACAAATTATATATTGTATCACTCAAGATTGCATTGCCAAAAAGAAATAACTGTTTAAACCAGTATACTGTAGTTATTGTCAATGCTATGATATAAATTTAAAATATTTGAAGAAATGTATTTCATGCAAAAAGGAAAGCCTGAAATTGTTGAAAACTTGAGCAATAGATAACTGCATCCCTATCTTTAAAATACACTGATTTGGCATCAGGGAAACGCAAATCAAAACCACTTTAAGATATCACTTTACCCCAATCAGACTGGCTATTATAAAAAAGACAAAGAATAACAAATGCTGGTGAGGATGTGGAGAGAGAGGAACCCTCCTGCACTGTTGGTGGGACAGTAAATTAGCATGGCCATTATGGAGAACAGTATAGAGATTCCTTAAACAACTACAGATAGAACTTCCATATGATCCAGCAATCCCACTACTGGGGATATATCCAAAGGATTGGAAAACATCAGGTCGAAGGGATACATGCACTCCCATGTTTATTGCAGCTTTATTTACAATAGCCAAGACATGGAACCAACCTAAATGTCCATCGATGGATGACTGGATAAGGAAATTGTGGTATATATACACAATGGAATACTACTCAGCCATAAAAAAGAATGAAATTCTACCATTTGCAGCAACATGGATGAGCCTGGAGAAAATTATTCTAAGTGAAACAACCCAGGTACAGAAAGAGAAATACCACATGTTCTCACTCATAACTGGGAGCTGAATCCATAAACAAACAAATGAACAATAGAGACAGAGAGAAAGAAAGAAACAACAATCACAGTAATACGTTGAACTTTTAGAAAACTAGAGGTGGAAAAGGGAAGGGGAGAGGGAGAAGGAGGGAAGCTAATGAGGAACTGGTCAATGGACATAAAGATGATCATGTACTGTAATGATGAATAAGCTAATTATACTGATCTAACCACCACACATTCTACACAATTATTGAAAATCAATGTTGTACCCCACATGGACATATAATAAAAAAATAAAATAAAATAAAAATAACTCTTTAAAAATAAATAAGTAAAATACACTGATTTGGGAGGACATTTTATCCTTATGCGAATAAAGCATCAGGATTATTTTTAAGATCTGTAATGACTGGATATACTTTTGAAATAAATATCTAAGAGAATAAAATATGACTACTCTCTACAGGAATAAATTTAAAAATATAATCTGCCTATCAACCACCTTTAGTAGAAACCATTATTTACACCTACCTCCAATCCTGTACTATTTTTTTTTCCAACTTTTCCTCGGCATATGACCACCTAGAATGAAAGCTAAATATTTCATCATTCCTTGCAGTTAGGTGGGGCTAATGCCTAAGTTAAACTGACTAAGTTTTGGCCAATGACTTAAATAGAAGTGTAGGTACCACTTCCGGGAAATTTCCTTAAACAAGGGGATGTAACCTTCTCACTGCCCTCCTTCTTGCTGGCCAGAATGTTGCTGTGAGATCTAGAGCTAGAACAGTAATCTTGTATCGTGAGTTGCAAGCCAAGAGCAGAGAGGTTGGTAGGGGAACACAGCAGCGTTGACATACTTACCTCTGGAATTCTTTTAAGTGAAAGGAAAAAAAACTTTCTTTTTTTTTAAGCCACTGGTGTTTGGGGTTTTATTTTTATACTGCTGAACCTAATCTTAACTGATACACGTTTCAGTCATTGGCATATTACTCCTTTATTAGAAATTGTAAATGAGAAATTATTTCAACACCTGAAGACCAAACTACAACAGAAGATTCCATAGGTTCAAGATTTTGAAACATTCTGGAGAGGGTTTTCTGTAAAGTATATCCTTTCCGTGGCATGGCAACATCATTCTTCTTTAAAAAGGTTACTGGACAGACATCATTTCCACCATCACCTATATAAACAATTCGTGTATAATTCACTCCCTGTTGTAACTGTTTATCTACAAATTCTACCAAAACTACATTTTTGCAAAGATTCTTTGGGCACCTATTGCAAGAATGAGCATGATAATTTTCCACAGTCAGGCGACCATTGCTATCAAAAACTGCTGGATTTGTAAACACTTTATCAAACATATCATGAAAATTGGCAGCTTCTAAAACCCAATCTATGAAGACCGAATTTGAATCTGAAATAATGATGCAGTCAAATTTATCCTTATTCTTTCTTATAAAGTTGAAAAGTTCCATCATCCCTGGAGTGAAAGGCATTGATGTCACTGCTCTTTTCATTTCATCTTCTCTTATACCTTTGTCTCTCAAAAACTTAAAGACTCTGCCCATAAATTCTGTCCAAAATCCTTTTTGATAAGAATCTTGTAATTCAATAGGAAGCTTTTTGTCTGGAGCACATTGTACAATTCTGGTGTCACTATTGTCATCTATGATTGTATTGTCAAAGTCAAAAACCAGCAAAATTTTCATGGTTCCAGAAATAGACCTGGGTTACCCTGAAAAAGAAGAAATATTATTCCCTAAATATACTGTTTATATATCTAGCTATTATACTTATTTAATAAACATAACTAGATGTTAATCTGCTAAAACAAGAATGTAAACAAGTGATTAAACATTTTAAGACAACCACTTAAGCACTTTTTCCTAAGAAGCAAAGTTCATATTTGAGTATTTTAAGTGAAAGAAAAGCGAAGTATCTAAAAAAAACTTCGTAATATTATGGTGTCCCTGTCCCGTGATACTTACAAGAGTTATAAGATAGAAAAATATGCAGGTTAATCATTCTTATTATCTTTAAATTATCAAAGCCATACTTATTTTATTAGCTTAAAATAGTTACAATAATACTCATATTAAATAACAGGTTGTATATAATATAGATTGTGAGTCCAGAATTCCATTTTTTCTTTTTACTTGTTAAATAAGAGAGGAATACCACATTCTGTCATTAACATCAGAGATTTAGTGCTGTACTTGAAATAAAAATGTCTCCAAAAAATTAAGGATTGCACAAAGATTTAAAGAATGTGAATCTATTTTGAAAACAATTTGTTAAAGTTCCAAAAATAGTTATTAACTATTCTCTGCAAAAGCACATGCAATGTCTATTTGGTATGTGTGCCATGTTTCTATAAAGTAACAATAGCCTATGTGCTTTTCACAGTAATGAAAAATAGAAACCACAGAGACATCCAAGAACTGGGGATTGGTTAAACCAGGTATGTATGTGATATCACATAATGAAATATTTATTCAGCCAGTAAAAGCTAAGGTGTTCAGTTCAAATTAAATAAGCAAGTCACAAAATAGTGTGTATGGTATAATCCTATTTTTGCTTTAAAAAATAAATATTTATGTGTACAGTGGTAGGGTCATGTGCGGTTCAATTGTAGTTCATACTTTTTCTGCACTGATTTTGTAATAAAAAAAATTTTTTTCCCCAGAATAATTTAAACTGTTTCAGATCAGAGTGCATATGCTACCTCCTCAAATTCACAACAAAGAAAAAAAGGACTGGTGGGGGGGGGGGG